GCCCGCCAACCCGTGCTCAATCTCTCACTTCTTCAGCGCACAACAGCAGCAGCAGACGCAGTATGCGTAGCCTGTAGGTACAATGCTGGAACTTCGGACACTGAGAGAGGGAGAGAGAGAGAGAATGAGACAGGGAACAGGCGAGGAGGACAGGTACAGCCAGGGCTTACAGAGTAGGACCTCCGCCGGAAGAGACCTTGAAGCTGTCTGTCTGCAAAGCCATTACTAGCGAAAGACCTTCGCCTTCAGGGACAAGGGCTCTACGAGCGGAAAGGGAAGAGGAAGGGGGGTGTCGCCCGAGAAAGTCTTTGCCAAGAACCAAACCTCCGGCAGGGGTGGGAGAGCATCCGCACCCGAAGGCAAAAAAAAGGGATGCGGGCCTACTGCAGGCCCATGGTCGCCGGGGTCCCCCCTTTGGCTCCGAGCTGGCCGCTTCTGGGGCACACACCTTTTCTTCTCAGTGTCTCTTCTTCTCCCACTCTGTCCCTCTGCTCGAGGTACGTAACTTGTCTCCCTGCTCGCTCTCTGTCTCCTCCACCGCAAACTGAGGAAAAAAAGAAGACCAGTTTCTCACCCCCCTGACCACCGTCGTGGTGGTTGTCTGCTCAGTGCTGCCGACCCATCCCAGGCCCAGGATAAGGTATTAGGTAGGGTTGTCCAAGAGAATGGAGACGGCATGAGAAGCCGCAGTGACAGGTAGCGAAGGTGGTGGGGTGAAGAGCGAGGATGGTGTGTCATGTTGCATGTGTCGACCTGATGCTCCCTTTTTCGATGCTCGTTCTATCGATGTGTGTACGGAGCAATAAGAGCATAACTCGTGAGGGAGTATTGGCATACTGGAGGATGGTGGATGGATGACATGTTGTAAGCTTTGAGACTGACGTAGTGCGCCTCAGTCAAGCCCGTGAAGCTAGTGATCAAGCCGTCTCGAGAGGACTGGAGGCGAAAGATGACAGTCCAAGTAAGCATCTGCAGCTCAGGCCGAATTGAGGATGCCGTCCTCGTGTGAAGATTCTGTCCTGCCGCCTGCCACCTTTTGCACTGCATGGTCGCACAAACTCCGGTGGGGAGGGATGAGATATGTTACAGCCGCAGAGGAGAGATTCGGCCCCGGCTCGTCACAAAGTGTAGATTCCGGCAAGGTATCGATCGAATCCTTCACTGACTGGACCACCGCCTTACTCGATTCTGAAATGCGTATCGACCTTCTCCTCTCAACCCACACTTTGTTGGAAGGGCTCTGCCCACAAAACTCTTGGGAGTCGGGACTTATGCCCTATGTCTGTTGCCGCCACAATCCGATTGCCTGCCAAAACTGAGTGGCTCATCTCCTCCCCACTTCCTTGTGCAGGACTGTATGGATAGTCTGTACTCTCTACGGATACCGCAAGCTTTTAGAGTTTGACCAGGAATCTGCAGACGTGTGGCATCGTCATGTCATGTCAGCGCTGCCAAATCGCAGCCGCCCTTCGCTACGCAGCGTAATGCTTCTTCCTTGCGTCGCATCCTCGTCCTTCAGCCCGTCTATCGATGCAAGCTTGTCGCAGCTGCACTAGACTGCATCCCGCATGCCAGATGACAGACAAGAAAGCTTCTTGTCCTTGTTTGATCGTGATCCGCCTTCCCCGTGGAGTAGCGTAACTTCGCGGCGTCTTCTAGTTGTCCAAGCCGATGTGCTACGTAAATCCTTTCGCGCCTTTCGAGTTTCCAGGCGTCCCTTGACTCTTGAGTCGTCTCATGGTTTGTTGCCCCAGTCTTAAGCTCTGCAAAGCCTCGAGGCCGCGTCGGTAACCCATTGGAAAGCGGCTCTTGTTGACGAAGCGTATTTCGATCAGCCCGCAACGGAAGGAAATTTTATCGTGACAGGTCCCGTACCCAGCAAACAAGCATCTAGGTTATTGACGCCCGGCAGCTGCACGCCCACATTCCAAGCTCTTATGGAGAAGGCTTGTCCCTGAGCTTGAGCTTGAAATAGAAAGAAAGATTAGGATAAAGGAAAAAAGAAGAAGAAAAGCGCTCATGAGCTTACCAATGGTCCCCTCATGTGCCCCTCCTGATCTCCATCTGTAGTTGTTAAGATGTCAGTGCCGTACGTACCGCTTCGACGACTGCAATGCTGTCGTCAACTTCGCAGGTGGAGGCTTCGCCCCTCATATGAACATGGCCCCTCCATGTCTGGTTACATTCAAACACATCAATCACCGGGTGTCTGTGGCAGCATACTCCGCCAAACGCGTGGTCTCGACAAGAGCCGTCAACGACAGCTGCATGCCGGAGTTACATCTGCCAAACCATTGCAGTGCAAATGGAGAGGCCACAGTCCAGGCTTGGGTCAGGCCAACCGTAGCCGACGCTGTTTTTTTTGCCCACTTGAGCCTGCGGTGCTGACCGCCCTGGTATCTCGTCCCTAGTTCTCTTATCACTGGGCCCAGTCTGGTTGCAAGCCCCTGCTCGTTGGAGACTTGCCGACATTGTTAGCCCCCAAGAAACAAACTCGATTGCTCTCCCACCCTGGCGTTGGGGGACCTAAGTACCGCAGTACCCTTTGTCATCATCTATGGCGGTGACTACTCTGTACTCATGCGCCGCCTGGCACCGAAGAGGGCTGCAATATGGCCCGCGTTGTTTCAAGAGTGCAGCTCGGAATGGACATGTCTTGTTAGCCACCCTAGGATTTAGCCCTCCTCATACATACTGACACACTGCCTCAACATCGCCCAGGGGGCCTACAGTCGTTGGAGCTCTTCTCCATGAAGCCCACGAGAGGAGTCAAACAAATGTAGCACTGGCTTTGTGGGATTTACCTCTCTTCGATCCCTGTCAGATGAAAATTGCCCTCCCCTCTCTGGCTCAAGATGCTGTCACGAATCGGAACGAATAGCTCCCGTCTCCCCAGGACAAGGCATCGTTGCCAGCTTGCAGAATCGCAACGGGGTCGCTGGTAGGGTCTGGGCTACATTGCCATGGCCATAAAGTCGAATTTCATCAAGAATATACGCCGACTGAAAGTACACTTGACGTCCTCTGATTGAATGAGAGGCCTCTCAGCGAAGACAAATGATCGATGATGCGCCTTTGATGGGCCTTGGCCGGCGAAGATGACCTAACACTATGGGGAAGTCGATTCGTAGCTGTGCTGAAAGCAGTGGGTAGATTGTTGAAGGTGGAATAAACAACTTGGAACGGTTGCAACCGTCCCGCGCCGCACCAAATTCTTCACCAAGGTAAGGCAGGGGAATCCATGCTATTTGTCAATCATCCTCAATGCCCAAGCAGGGCCCCACGGCAGCTCTGTTTTCACCTAAGCCAGCGCGGCCATCAACCCTCCTCAAGGACGTGCAAGGGGTACATTGGCATGACCTTTGAGCCCTCCATACCTTAAGCAGACCGTCTCTCATACCGGCTCGCATCCGAAGTGGTGTTCCGAACAGGGGCTTGCTTCGTGGAGGGTCTGATAATGGAGATGCCGTGATTTCGTCAAGCACCTCGCTACTCCGTGAGGTATCCAGAACTTGACTCGATCGGTGCAGCTGTCCCCTGTAGCTTGCGCCTCTCTAGACGTACCAAAGCTGGGAAAAAAGGGGTCCATGTAGGCCGAGTGCGGCATGTAATCTGCAAGATATTTCAACAGTGGCGGACGTGTGTTGAAAGTCGGGCTGATGCTTTGGACTTGTCATGGTCAAGCTGACCACTTTTCGCAAGTCGCAAGTCCATGGGTCTTGAACTCAAATGCCAATTTCTCAGGGGTGAGCTTGAAGGCTAGGCTGACAGCCCTAACAGTACCATATATCGCCTGTCGCGTTCCATCGCCCTAGGCTAACATTCACTTCCTTTGGATGGCCTCATTTAATCGTTGTCGTTAGTGTCAAGCCATCTGAATCTGCGGATCATCATGTCGTTCGGTCCGTTTTAGTTCAAGCTTCGATGGCCTAGAGTTACCCCAGACTCTAGGTCTCTGGATTGGGCAAAGGCTGTAATATCCTGGCCGGCCACCAATGATAAGTCAGATTTGGTGCTCATTTGAGAACCTCTCATTCATGCTCTCGGCCATGGTATACCAACGGGTTGTCTACTAAGCGGCACCAGGGCAACTGCTGATAGATTGTGTGGAACTCAGTCGCAAACTGCTGCTGTCGTAATCGCACGTCAGCGCTTCCTCACTCGCGCCGCTAGGAGCATGGATTCGTGCGTTTGACCCAACGCTATGATTAAGCCTCTCGTTGCTTTTTTCGTTTGCTGCCGAAGAACCCCATCACGCACTACCTATCACCGCGGCCACATCCCGTCGCTGGGTGGGCGTTAAAGTTGCATGGGCCATAACGGGGGCTGTCAATGGCTTGTCCCAGTGCCTCTGTCGAATATTTCTTGTCCTTTTCCCCTCCAAAACTACACAGTCCGTCTGTCACCAGTCTCAAAGACGAGTTGTGATAGAACAATAGCAACAGTTTTAGGCATTGAATGCTCCGGAGGCTTGTCGGTCATAAACCATACTTTTGATAAGCACAATCTCCCTTAGGAGTCCGGGCTTATCGAAATCGCAGCTACTCTCGATATTTGAAGTTTAAAATAAGCACTGTCAAGTCAGAGTCACTTCGTCGAGCAGCCACAGACGCATTCTCCGCCCGACCAGATATGTTGGCGCAAACAGCGGCTTAGACTCGTCGTTTCCCCTGTTCGTCTTCCCGTCGTACGTTGGATCTGCATCTGAGAAGTCGCAGGCGACAGCTACTTGTTAGAGACTAATCGAGAGTCGTCCCACAGTAGATTTTCGACAGTACGGATAGGTGCTCGTGCGCAGCAGGCGGGTGGTGTGAGGCGGTGGGCTATGATAGGTTGCAAAGGAGCGGCTCACCCAATGGCGACCTTTCTTCGCCTGGTGGTGGCCTGCCTTATCAACCCTAGCTACACATCGCGGCCTTGCCCTCCTGACAGGAGTTGATGGCATGCTAAGGCCCCCGTTCCGATGGAGCCCATTGGCAGTTCCTTGCAGGTTAGGTCCTCTATTCGTAAGAGGTCGGGGCTTTGAGAAGCAGGCCGACCCTAGTGCACAGGGATGATAGCGCAATGCGGGATTCGACGAAGAGGTGCCGGGGAACCATACTTCGGAGCCGGAGCTGTTGCTGGTGGAGAGCTGAGAGAGCCTTGGCCAAAACTGGGCCATTGGAGATTGCCATGCACGTCAGTCGCAACCGAGCCAGCAAGGCAAAGATGTTTGTGCGAAGGCAAGATATCGTCGCCGAGGCCCCAACGACTGTTGAAGATGACCCGGCACCGTTGACTTCCAGCCCAGTCGCGAAAAATGATACTATCTCGCCTGAAAACTCCCATGCCATGTTGTCTAGCGCCTTGATGTGTGCAGGTACTCTCTCTCTATGAGGCTCTCGGGTCTTGCTGCTACCGAGAGAGCAGTTCGGGCATGGGATGGTGGTGCGGCAGACATAGCGGCCCAAGAAGTACTTCTTTTGGTACGCCATGCTATCAGACCGGGCGTCACGGCAAGAACGGCCCCGGCCGGCCGGCCCCGGCACTCAACGAGGTTTAATAGCGTCAAAAGGAGGTACAGACGTCTAGATGCCTCGACAATGGCCTCCAATGTACCACCCACAGCCCGATAGCGTAGGAGACGAAGCGGCTTTTGCTTGAGAAGGGTGTGTATAGTGCGCTGGGCGACGAGGTGGAGCGCAGATGGTGAAGTGTAACACGCACCACTTGACAACCTAGCAGATCCAGGGTAAGAAAGATGCTCTCCCACTCCGTCGTCAACAACACGGTGAAGACCCGAGAGCAGGTAGGTGGGGTGGTGTGGGATAACTATCCCGTTGGGTGACACCCTTATGCGTAATGAAAAGGGTTGTCGATCAATTGAGTTGGAGACCTAAAGAGCGGTGGGAACAAGATGGTGCACGGGCGGAGGGGCCGAAGGCGATGTTGAGGGTCGTCGGTCGTGTATTCGCGCTCTAGGTCCTAAGTTCGCGATGTTCGTTGATGGTTGCGTATTGAAGGGCGGAGGCGGGAAGCGGGAGGGCAAGTCGGTCCAGACACGGGACAGAAGCCAGGGATTTGGCGGCTGGCACATATGTTTTGGGGCCAAGTAAAACGTGGCAATGGAGGGGGGGGGAAGACAAGCATCATGGTCGTCGCCTGTGTTTCCTGTGGTGTATTGTGGTGGTGCATGGGCTTCGCCTCTCCCCCCGGGATTGAAGAAATAAATCCTATCAAGATGGACGTTGTTGACGTTTCAACGTGGCTCGTGACTCTTGACTCTACGAGACTGACTCAACTCAGAAAGGCACGCATCTGCGTCCTTGCCTTCTTGCTCCAAAAATGGCTGCGATGCAAGGAAACCAAGGCAGGTGCTCCGAAGGCAGTCACCTTCTCTTGATGCCGGAGTGGGAAGGCACGGCTTCATTTACTTAACCGCACCTACAAGAGCTCTGCGCTTGGAGGTGATCATGATCCTCCTTTTCACTGTTTTGTACCCTTTCCGTCTGTTGTTGCTTCCATTTCTTTGAAAATTATCTTTCGGGAACCACCTGCATCAACAGAAACGCAATTGCCATCACAAGTTCTTCGAGTGCCGGTGGGAGAGGAGGTCTGACTTACATACCTTCTCTCTTGCCTTATTTCGCTCCTGCCGTATTGCTGTGCCGTGTGTGCCTCTCGACTTTCCCCGCATTGATCTGTCCCTGAGCCGTGCCTACCCTCTTCTGAGTGATCTATTGGTGGGCGATGTCATTCTTAACCCCATATTGGGCCGAAAAGGGTCAGAGTCTTTCCTTCCCTCGGTTCCTTGCAGCAAGGCACACAATGGAAGGCAAGCGGGAAAGCACGGCAAGAGCATTCTGGACCTCGCTGCTTCACCGCCCTCGGGCTGCCCCAACCCTCCCACGCTTTCCCACGCTTTCCCACACTTTTCTACCACCCCCAAAATCTGACTGAGCAAATCATCATCGTCCAATTGACCCCACATGATGTGAAGACTGTAACGCCTCCCACGCATCTACAAAGTATTCCATCGCGTCGCATCACCAGGAAAAGCCCTCAGAGTGTCACCGAACCAGACTTTGTCATCTTTTGGTTCGAAACATCTGCAGGTGGGCTACCTTATGTTACTATTTCTTCCACAAACGTCTTGACCGTCTTTGTGATAATCTGCAGACGCCACTTGTGGCTCTCCTCATGTGGCGTTGTGCAGCAGCAGCAGCAGCACCTCCACATTATGCCGTTAGGTACCCCTGGCCCCTCTCAGATCAGACAAGAAATTCCCGAATGCTACCAAGAGCCCCTCTCGATTGTCTACCTGCATCATGTATCGTCAGATAGTCGAGTCTTTCAACCACATTACGCTCAACTCTGGCTCAATACTCTACTGCGTACTCCTTACCACATGGTGATTGACCATTTCTTCTCCCCATCCACCTATTCCCGTCCCGTCTCCATGGCTTGTGGACTGACACCAACATCCACCACCACCTCCTCCCCTTCTCCAGTTTACCGCTGTTCTCTAACCATTGCTTGCGCACAGACCTACGCCTCTTCCTCTCGGTCCAGGCACGAAGAGAGTTGAAAAAGGGGGGGGAAGAGAAAAAGGGTCACTACGTTCGGTCGTGAGTGGGTGATCTGCGACCAAGATGCTGACGAAACGTGGCTGACATGCCTGGCCTGTCTCTGCTTGTTAACCGGCCCTCCACTGCTCGTCCTGATGTCTGCAGCTTGCGGCGTGCCTGGCTTCCTGCCCGTGCCACCGGCCGATTGTGGGGGTTGCATTCTACATGGACTCAATCACCATTCGCGTCCAATCTTCAGTCCCGAATCCTGAATACTAGAACGAATCTGACAAGCAAATCGCACTTCCTCGACCGGTAGAGACAGCCCACTTGCAGACTCACCTACTTGCAAGTGTCTATCATGCAAGCCAGTGTATTCGGATCACACTGGAATCCAGTGCGGATAAAAGTCTCCTAAATTCCTAGCGGTCATTCCGCCGTATGTACCCTATCCCATACCCTGACGTTGCCAGCCTCTCGTCCAAAGAGGTAAAGAACCCGCAGAGGAAGTGGCTAGACTCGAAGGAATGAATCGTTTAGGTCGTTACGGATACTGAACGAACACAGTACGGTAGTCCCTCGTACCACTTTTTCTTAACGCAATTCGACAGTTGGACCGGCGAGGTGTGCCTCGGTCACGTCCAGGCCATCCCAATGGGGTAACAAATCCATGAGGGGAACTACTGCAGGTGCTAAGCTTGTCCCACTGGTGGTGCAGTTCCTTGATTTTGCGTCGCATGGCAATTGCTCCGGCTACCACATCAAACGCCCAGAACGCACCGCAGACAATGACCGCAAGGCTCAATCAACGGCCTACCCTTCGGACTCTGGTGCCTGAGAATCTTACTTCTGGGTGATATACACTGGATAGTCCGCAACGGGAAATGCCGTATGCCGTCTGGCCCTGGTCTGGTGACTGAAAGTTGACGAAAGTCGTCACGCCACAAGGGGCAGGTCCCTTCAACTTCATCCGCAATGAGGGGCATGGTGTGTGCAATTGCCATACTATCAAGTAGAACAACACGAACTCGTGCAATCGGGTACGCAGGTTCATGCTCACTCGGATTAGGCGATAGGTGCGGTAAGAAGATACGGCAAAGCAGACACACACACAGACACACACACCTACACGTACACGAACACGCATACACCATCACCACTTCGTGTATACGATGATACCTGTGTTCATTGTTAGTGGCTTGCTCTGGCCTGAGAGTCTGGGACGCACGCTGGAATTGCTGGCACACACCATCAACACCTGCTAGACTTGCCACTTATTACAAACGGGGAAAGAATTCTAGTGAAATCCCAATCAGGACTACCGTTCACCTGCGCCTTTCGTTCCAGCCCTGGAGGCAATTGTTCAGCTACGAGACTAAACAGGATCATCATGGGTCCCTAGGATCAAGTCTCGAATGACGAAGATGAGCATCATGAGCAAGGCAAAAAAGAGAAGAACCGGCGAAGACTTTAGCCCACTGGCCCTCACGTGGGAGTGATGATCGTCCGGGATAAAACGTGGGACCTATTCTAGGTTCGGTCTTGGAAAGCCCCATGTGGCTGCTGCTAGTGTAAAACAGCAGTTCAGCTGAAAGCCTGGCGGTCTTGCTGCGTGGCTGGACCCAAGTTTGTTTGACTAACACCTTGCGAAATGACCTGAATGGGTTGGTTTTCTTTCCGTACCATGGACTCTGGTGTCTCGAGGCCTTGTCACTGGTGGCCCTGTCCATTGGTGAGAATGGAACAAGATGAAATTGAAGACCGAGAAGTGCGAGGTCAGTGTTCGTACTAGCCTTTCTATCAACACCATGATTCTATCCGTATCTGGGGTCCCTCCTCGACTTCCCAGCCACCGCCGGGCCTGCTTGCGAGCTTGAGGATAAGTGGCTCGCCGGCGTGAGAGATGCTGCAGATTGCCAGACTGAGGTGCAGGCCGCAGTCGGGGGATGTGGGGCACCGGTGAGCTCCCACTCGTTCCAGAATCCAGCGGGCCAATGAGCAAACCCCGTAGAATCACTTCATCTGAAACGGGGTCGAAACGGGACGTATCTTTTCTATGGACATGTTCAAGTTCACTGTTCTGGTCGATTTTAGTCCCGTCATCCATCACATCACCCGGTTATTTGTCTTAATCTTACTTCCAGGATATTCTATGAGAATGGTACGTACTGTGAGCTGTCGAGATACTTACCTTAGGTACCTTACTGCGTACGGAGTAACGTAGAGTAAGTACCGTATTACCTAAGTCCCCATAAATACGTCTCGTGCCGGGCCTACTGAGCTTACTTGACTTACCAAGGTACCTTAAAGGGGCTCAACAACTGCCTAACAGTCTGTATGCAGATAAATTGGGAAAAAGACGAACCTTAAGCCGTCGTGACCGCCTTACTGAAAAGTAGAGATATCACCGGCAACTATCAACTGGAAGGAAAGAGGAGGGAAGTGCTTACTACGTGCAGGCTCAACTACGCCTAGGCCCGCTACCTACCTTACATAGAATTTCTGTTAGACGCAGCTTCCCAAGGCAGTACTTGCCACAGAACCCCCCTCATCCTCTTCCTGCATGGAGCGGGCAACCAGCGGCTTCTTCCCCGAGGCCACCAACGTGATGGAAACCACCGGATCCCCAACTACCCATGACACTGCTTGACAACCTCATACACCACCACCACCACCACCATGATCACTATCTCCGCGACCGACCCGGGCACCATCCTCTCCCCTTTTGCTCGGGACAGACCGCAGACTGTCCCTCTTCGACTTTGATGACTGTCTGTTCACTGCATAGGCGAGGCCCACCATTGTGCCGTGCTGTGCGTCTCCTGGAAATAACTAGACCCGCCAGTGACAGACAATGATCCATCATTCGAAATGCCCAAGATATGGACACCGCCGGGCCAGACACTACCAAGAACGAGTCGAATCAATGTCCACACGATATCGTCGACACCGTCTACGAAGGCGAAGGCTCTTCGTTCGTCATCACGGCTGCACCGCCCCGTCATGGTTAGCTCTCTTACTATCTTCGTCGGGGTTCAGGAACGTGGCGAGCAGAAAATTGATCCCTCGAGACATGACGCCACAAACACCAGATCGGTCTTGGGGAACGGGGCCCGCGAACAGACCTCCCAGGCTACTCGCGGCCGCAGCCAAGAATCTTGCCTCTAGACTCGGATCTATACCCGTCTCTTCTAGACTCAACAACTGTCTCTCCCAAACTACAGGCGTATATGCGACAGCTACGCGGTTTACTTTCAGAGCACGGCAATGCTTGGCACACGGCACCTGTCCAGCCGTTCACATCCGAAAAAGAGCAGGTCTCAACAAACTTCATATGATTCTTGGCTCCATAGCCACGATACAAGTTCCATGAGCGCAAGTATTCGCTGCTCACCATGGGTCGTTCACGTCTCCACCGTCAGACACGTCTCGACAACAGTTTCCATCACATAGATGACATGGCATTTGTCAGTCACCTCTCAAACATCACATCACTCACACAAGTAGAGTGCAACTGTGGCTTTGCACTGCTATCGAAACACTGCCCGATCTGCGACGGCCACTACCACAGACCATGCGTTCGCCTCTACAAGTACTGTGTGAAAGGGCGTGCATTAGCTTGAGGTGGACGCAACTCCGGCACCCGGTCTCAACAGCAAACTTTACGCCGTCCATGTCGACCCGAACCATACCAAGGACTTGCTGCACCCGTCTGGGGAACAAATTGCCCAGAGATCGCCATATTGAAATCCTTAGCACATTGCCAGTCCAAGTTCTTGGTCCCAGAAGGGATGCTTACTAGACTGAACCGTTGAATCTCGTCTATCACCTTCGTATGCTCCGTTCGTACGGATACACGAGGAACCAGAGCTGGAAACCTTTCAGGAAGCGGTCTGCCCTACACAGCGCGCGCAATGCGGCCCGGCAGCCCATTGCAAGCAGTTTTCTATTCTTCCCCTAGGCCATTTTCACGGATCATCGTCGAACGTGCTCTACTTCTTATCTCCGCCCACCTACTTGTCGCATATCCGTCCAGATTCCTGGTCACCGTATCATGCCATCATTGCAGAGTAGACATGGGAGACTGACTGCATTCCGCAATACATTGATCGGATGAAGAATCTTCACCTGGCAATCACGGTTGCGCCGAGCTGGTATTCATTTTCCACGAGCTTCAGAGGCCCGCCATTGTCGGCGGGGGGGGGGGGGCATGAACCTTAGCATTCACCACATATAGGGGTATCCGTACCTTCATGCGGGTTCCGCCCCTATGCAGGAACGACTAGTTCGGCCAATAGCTTTCACGCATCGAAGCCGGTGCCCCTTCAGCATCGGTGCCAGCCACACGCATTCGACTGGCCGTTTCACACTCTTCTTCATTTCAGAATAGACTAACGGCGCCGCAAACTGCAAACTTCTTTGGGGTCTCGAGTCTGACAAGAGACTTACATTCTTCGAGCAAAACACCTAAGTAACGTGATACTACGGGCGTCTTTCTGACATCGGAAACGGGTTTCAAGTAGTACGTTCGGCCCGGCCCCAATTGAGACCAGATCAACTCTCTGCGTTGCCCAGTATTCCGATGTTGATAGGCCCTACTGCCAGTCATCGTTGTCCCTCCCGTCTGGAAGGGAGCACCCCTTCTTTGCCTTGGATCTCCCTTGTTGGAGTGTTCGAGGGACCCAGGTCTGCCAGTGGGTGTATCCACATCTCATCCAGGCCTCCGCCAACTCAGGCTCTGGAATTCTGCTTCCGCAGAGATCGTCTTCCGCCCATCCCAAGTCTATCACCCAGGGGGGCTGGACAGCTCCTGCGGCGCACGTCCTCTGCTATACGACCCTGCCAACGACTAGCTCGTCACCGCCCTGAACCCCCCAAGCTATCACGCCATTTTTCGTCTGCCGCGATGCTCTGGGATAACCTCTACGGCAGTATGCCTGCTCTACTCTCGCACGAATCTGGACAACCCTCGTAGGACATCTTCTCAAGCTCATACGGAGAGACCACACAAGTCCATCGCAATGGACTTGCGGCCCCAAGCATCTAATAGAGGTACCGACAGGC